TAAAATTTGTTTGGTGATTTGAATCTTTTAAGGGACAAATTTGCAAAAAAAAAAAAAAACAGGCAGGGGGCAAAAACCTTTTCACAGCACTGTATGTCAATAAACACTATTTCTCAATTTCAAGTTCAAGTCCACCAACATTAATCTAATTTAACCTATTACTTACTATTGGAGAAAGTGTCACGTGTAACTTAATAACAAATCACATTACAGCCTTGCCGTCATTGAATTTCAGTCAGAATTTTACTACACTCAATCACCATTTATGGATACCGTAGGAATGAATGGGAAGTGCCGTAAACTGAAGGCAGATAGGCTGTCAATTCATTAAATTATAAACCGTTTCCTCTAAAAAGCTGTTTATTCAGCGAAGTGAAGCCTCTCCTCCATTGACATCCATTCAAACAAAATGGCCTCTGGTCTCCTTTCCCACGTAATGCCAAAGCGTAAGCGTTAACAAATCACATTACAGCCTTGCCGTCATTGAATTTCAGTCAGAATTTTACGACACTCAATCACCATTTATGGATACCGTAGGAATGAATGGGAAGTGCCGTAAACTGAAGGCAGATAGGCTGTCAATTCATTAAATTATAAACCGTTTCCTCTAAAAAGCTGTTTATTCAGCGAAGTGAAGCCTCTCCTCCATTGACATCCATTCAAACAAAATGGCCTCTGGTCTCCTTTCCCACGTAATGCCAAAGCGTAAGCGTTAGCATTAGCCATTATGCTTTTTTGCAGGCTTGCCTTGTAGTGATTTTGGTCTGGTTTGTCGGACAAAAATGGCAGATTCTGCGTTATGATTGGTCAGGTTGCTTATCAATCAAACTTCCTGCAAAGGGCCATTTCTCTGGACATTTAGACGTATAATTGTATTATTTAAACATAAATAATTACACGCCTTTTCAATCTAAAGTGTATTGCATAAGCGAAATACTAAAAGGAACATAAAATATAGGAACATGCTAGTTATACACCCATCTGGAATCTATTACACAAACATTTTCATAATATTAATGTCCTGTTTTCAAGGAAAGTGCTTTTGAGGAGTGGACCAACTGTTGCATGAGTTAGATTGAGTCTTTCTATGAAATGATCAGCTGAATCTCATTATAGGCCTAACTGTCTGTTGGATTACATTACCTTAAATTAGATAATAATGGCAAATTTAATTGATTGAGCTTGAGAATTATTGTCATTTAATGTAATAATTGTTATCACCTGTTAAAATAAACATGTTATCACCTGTCTCAGGTGTGGCGGGATCACGAATAAGAGATTTTCACTGTGTCTACTATGGGAAGGAGTACATGGAATGCACCTGGGAGCCAGGACTTGTCCAACCTCCAAATTCACAGCACTACCTCTATTACTGGTGAGCACTTCCATGTGAAATGCTGATTACAAACACCATTAAAGCATTTCAAATGCTTTTTACATACGCATCAAGAGCTTTTTCACTGTCTGTGCCTCAGGGGGAGCAGAGGACAGGTTGAAGCACAAGTAATTTTACTTGAATGTACTGAGCAACCTTATAGAGTTCAGTGTTCAAATGCCAAAGCTTCCACTGTTTTATCTGTTCCATGGAAAAAGAAACGATATGCTTACTAGAGTATATAGTACACACATTTGTTTTTGGCAAAGTTTAACATAAGCCAGTTTGGTTGGTGGTCATGGTTGAAACACTAGGATCTGATCACTGCATTCCACTGCACTACAGGTCAAGAGTCAGAACTGCTTAGCTGGAACGAGCAAGTGTCTAGTTCTTTCTGTAAATGTATGTAGCAGGTCAACAGAATCTTCAATTTGATGTTAAAATACGATTTAAAACCCAATCATCTGTTCATACTCTGAATCTCTAAGGTCAATAGCATGCGTAATTTTCTTTCTAATGATATCTAATGATGCACATAGAAACAAACAAATCAGTTTTATGTTGATATCCCACGTTTTGAATAATAAAATAAGCACACTTAAAGACTCAACTTGATGAGTAAATGTATATCTGTTCTTCCAGGCACCGGGAAATGGATGAAACAAAGGAATGTCCAGAATACATCATATTATCTGAGGGTCGAAGGGGATGCCGGTTTCCTCGAGAATCACTCTTGGAGTTCTCTAAGTTTAATTTATGTGTAAATGGATCCTCTCCAGCAGGAAGTCTGAAAATGGCCTACTTCTCTATTGAGGTCCAAAACCATGGTAACTACAGACTGCTTTATACCTGACAGAAAGCTCAAAATCAGCTAACTAGGGACATATGGTCTGACTCGGTAGTAAAAAAACATATTCCTCATTTTCTTCTCACTTTCTTTCTCTTGCAGTAAAACCAGCAGTGGTCTCCTCTGTGCATGTCTCAGAGATTGATGGAGAGCTGAAGTTAGATTGGTCACCACCTAGTGGTCAGGTGCCAGAACACTGCTTGGAATATGAGGTGGAGAGCAGCACTTCGATGGAAAATGGCAAAGAAAAGCAGGTATTTTAATAGTTCTGTTTTTCTTCTATCCAGTGCAGTTAGATTCAAATAATCAATGAAGAGGAGTAGAAATAAAAATCAAAGTAAAAATAAACATTATCCTCCGCTCTACTTTTCATGTTTTTGTGGTTGTTGCTGCATATTTTAGGTGTCTCACATTTGAAACATCCAGTTCAGATTATAGAGTACTAATGGGCTGATAAGAATCTGACATATTAGATAAGGGAAACATCCGAAATGCCTTCAGGAGAGGGACTGAGAAACACTGATGACAAGACTCTCTTGTCTAAAAGTCTTTTTATAGCTTTGTAACATCTAGTAATTTGTAAACAACACTTGTTGACATGAACACCTGCCATTCATTTGCATTTCATTCTGAATCTTGGCATGCATTGTCAAACCAAGATTTGATTTAGCTAATGTGCCAATAAAAACACCAAAAAAGAGCCAAGAATCCAGTCTGTCAAAAGCATCCATGAGGTCTTTTTTTCCCCCTTCAGGAAAAGATGGTTCTTCAGAATTTAGAGGACACATCTTATGGCGTCCCGAGAGAGGTGGAAAGTCAGAAAACCTGCTTTCGAATCAGGTCAAAGGTGAACATGTACTGTGCTGATGGAGGATTTTGGAGTGACTGGAGCCAAACAAAGTGTACAGGTTAGACCTATTGATTAAAGAGTATTCTGTCATTCTGATCTTGTGAAACTTTTATAAGGGATATGTGTTTATGAATATTTAAAGATAGTAGTTGTATTTAATGTGCTCTTTTCAGCTTTTGAAAATATTTATGGTTAACACATCCAAAGATGTTAGAACATCAAGTCAAGTCACCTTTATTTATATAGCGCTTTTAACAATACAGATTGTGTCAAAGCAACTGTACAGCATTAATTAGGAAAATATTGTGTCAATAATGCAAAATGACAATAGTAAACACTCAATTTTCA